TATAGTCTGGACATGTTTACACTTACTGCGGAGTTGCCCTATTAGGCCACAGAAAACTAATAAACTCTGCAGCAGGTTAGTACTTGAAAACACAAGTATCCTGCTGCAGAGGTTTTTCGTGAGCAGCAGTGTGAACGTGTAGACGGTAATGAGGCTGGCTGGGGCATGAGGGTGCTTCAGTGTGGGCTAACCCTGTACTAAAGCACCCTCATGCCTCAGCCAGCGCTTCCACACCATGTTGAGCCAGGGCTGCTTTGACCCGGCTTAATGTGCTGTGGTCCTGGGCACACATTTAAAAGGCATGCCCGGGAGCAATAAACTCTGGCGCAATTTGCTGGAGTTTATTGCTGTGAATTAATTGCACATGTAGATGTGCCTTCTATGGACTAGATCAAGAATCGGACTTGCTGTATTTCACAGTGTATAAGTTGAAGTTTGAAGCCACCTCAACTTATACAACGTATCAGTACTTTGAAGTAGAAAAATACTTTGTTTCAAAGTTCCTTTGTCTTAAGCCAGACCCTACCCTGCTGCACCCAGCCCATGGGGAGGCATTGAGGGGCATGCCAGGGAGCATGCTGGCATCTGAGGGCTTCCCTGGCATCGACTGAAGCCAAGCCAGGCTCCACTCCCTGCCCTCCCTGCAACAGCCCAGAGCCAGGCTAGGCAGCCAAACCCTGCACCCTTTGAGTGTAGCCTGGAGACACTTACCCATGGCTCAGTGGCTGCCCCATGAATAGATCTTGTCCAGCAGGGTGGAGCTGCCACCTGATGGCATGGGAGACATGTCGCCACCGACACCTATCAGCAGCACCAGGGCATGGAGCGGCAACAGCGAGTGGCACTTGCTGGCCAGGAGCCACTTACAGCCCCCCATGCTGAGCTCCGCTGCTGCCCACCTGGCTGTGACTTTCAGGCTCTGGCTGCTGCTGCCTCTGCGGCCACCACTGACCCGCATTTCTAAGGTGCTGGGACAAGGTGACAGCTGAGTTCAAGTGCTGGATGTCTCCTCTGGAGGTGGCTCTGGCAAGGCAGGGTCTGCATATACACTGGATCTACAAAAATCCTAGCTTTTAAAATTAGAACTTTTAAATTTATACACCATGTAGATTTGTACGCTCTAAAATATGGTAACTGCCTAACGTGGCATTTGAGTACTCGCAACTCAATCCATTCAGCCACTGCTTGGCACTGGAGATGAACTCACTTTTCTAGTTCATGTTTTTAGGCATTTAGGAAGCTTTAGAATTGCCCTTCATGCAGACAACTGCGTCAGTGTTTGCAAGGCTTAGCAGCTCCATACCTAGTTCACACCAAAGCCCAATAGGGATTCAGAAACTAGGTGTTTCTCTTCCTGTGTCCCCTGAGAGGCTTGTTCTAGCTGGCATCCTCCTAGCATGCCAACCACACCCCAGCAGAACTGCAAAATATTGTTGTGAATACTTGATTTTAAAAGAGCTGCTGGAAGCGAAGGAAGTGGTCTACCTTTTATATGCTGTATTCTTTTTTGCACTGCAATACATCTCAGCTTGTATAGGAGAGGTGAAGAGACCCTCAGAACTCTAGCTGGATGGTTAGGGCACTTTTTTGGGCTGTGAGATGCATGGGTTTAAGCCCCTTCATCCAAAGGAGAGCACTGAATCTGGATCTGGCACTTGCTTGATGAGTACACTAACCACAGGCTGTTACATAAATGTGCATCTGTGCTTTCCTCTATTCAAACATAAGTGTCATTGTTACACTGTCACTTTTGGTGTTTAATTTTGATTTGTAAGATTGAGAAAACGTATTTTTTAAGGATGGTATATAAACTGCAACTGTATAACTGATTGTGTACAACCTGCAAAATATGACAACTGTTGTAGTGTGTGAAAGGGAACCTTACAAGGAAAGCATCGTTTGTTTGCATACATAACATACAGGTATGTGGACAGCAGGGTTTTGTTTTAAAGGTTTTTTTTAATGTTCATGAAACACTGAACTCTTCAAGTCAGAAATATTTTCCTCTGAGCAAACCATAAAGGAGGTTACCTAAATGTTAAAAGAAGAAAAAGTAATAGCCTTACCTCATTAGTGGCAGCTTGTTATCATTAAAGAGTTTGTCATGAAATTTGCCCCTAACCATTCAGTGAAGTTCTGACACTTTTATTTTGCATGCATTTTATCTGAGCAAAACCTTCAGCAGAAATAATACATACACAGACTTATACTCAGCTTCTGGGACAGGCAAAAAAAAAAAATCTGTTGTGAAGGCAGGGCTTTGATTTCTGTGGAGTTCCAAGAATCGTGGTCCATCCTGAAAATGGAGCTGTGGACCAGTGGCGTAACTGGGGGATGGTGACAGAGGGAGGGGCACTGCTGGCAGCAGAGTTGCTGGCACAGTCTTATACACTGGCCAGGCCACGGGGCTGCTCTGCTCTGGACTTGATCGTGTGTCATTGAGGACTGCTTCAGGATGAACTGGGTGTGATACTATGGCTTAAAGGGTTAATGCAAGCATAAAAAAGTGACTTTAAGGTAGAGGGAGAGTAGTGATCTTGCCTCTTTAAACCGCATTGGTAAGACGACTATTCCCATACTGTGGGTACAGATGCGCAGAGTACGTTCCCATGAGCAGGAACGTGCGTTTCCCCACGGACAGCTACCAGCAGCGTATATTTGCGCTGCTGCTAGTTGTCCCTGGGCATGCCCCTGCACATCCACTCTAGTGTACGGCAAATTGCTCCAGGTGGGGTGGGGGAGGCCAGGGCCAGCACCCTTACCTGGGGGCCTCCCAAGGTGATCCAGCCTGGCTAGCAGCTGGAGCGTGGCTCTGGTTTTGGGCACCCTGCCTTTTTCTGCTGTGGCTTTTTTTTTTATACCTGGATTTCCCGGTATCTAATTTTCCTGCCACGCTGCAAATATGCAGTGCGGTAAATGAAGTCACGAGTGCCACATGCATCTCGTGGCCCCTCAGAAGACTTTGAGGGGCCAAAAACTGCACGTTCCCACTCATGGGGACTCTGCCACAATGCCTTTATTCTGGGGTAGTCTCAATTTATTCTGAAATAAACTTACTCTTGGGAAAGTTACTCTGGTGAACCAGTTGCATTATCTGGTACCTTTTGGAAGTATCCATCTACTCAGTGTAAATTGATTCTCTGCCACCCAGTGGCCACATGCAGTAATCGTGCCTATTTTGGCTGTCAGTGTGAGCAAGCTGATCATGCATATACTCTGTTACAGAGTAAAATAATTGTGGAATAAAATGTGCAGTGTGCTACTTAAGAGTAAATGTGTCATGTCGTACTCTGTCCAGTTCTGGTATTTACGTTTGAAAATATGGAAATACTAGAATGAGCTCAAAGGAGAGGGGACAGGACATGTGTGATCCCAGCACTTTGGGGAAGTGAGCTTTAGAAGGTGAGGCTAAGAAACTCAATCTAGTAAGTCTGTGAAAAAGGTAAAAGGTGACTTGATTTCTGTGTTTAGGTGCATTCCTGTGGGTAAGAATGGGGTTTTCTCAGCAGTGAGGATAATTAAACATTGGAACAGCGTAGAGGAGGTGGTGAACTAGCTTGGAGTCTAGAAACATCAGCTTTAATTCAGCTCCAGGGAAAAGTTCTGTGGGTGCGTATACAGGATATCAGATTAGAAGATCATTGGAGTCCTTCCTGGCCATAGCCTCTATGAAAGGTGTTTTTTTTTTTTTTTTAAAGACATTTTTCCATTTTAGTTTTTTTAAATATTAATGAAGAACAAATTTATTTTAAAAACAATCTAACATTGAACATATCAATGAAAGTAAGTTTTTCCCTTTAAGTATTCATACCTGTAAAACAGATAAGTCTACTAGAATTAGTGTTGCTTTTAATTTAAAGGAAAGGAAAAATGTTAACATAACACTCAGTGTACAGCAGTATCTCCCTGAAGTCCTTGAATGCCAGAGATACCAGGAGAGCAACTTGCAGGTACCGCACAATAGCTGAGGCAGCACCTGCCTGGTCAGAGATCAAGTGAGGAAGCAGCCATTCAGAACGGGGTTATATGTCATTGTAGTAGTGGCAACAAATCTTTTGGTTTTGTCATTTTATTATTCAAAAGAGAGAAACAGATTTTAGTATGTCTGGCTATAAGGAAGTGCAAGAGCCACTTTTTGGCGATGCTGTGTTTGGCTTCTCGGAGATGAGGTGATAATTCTGCAAAATTGCAAAAAACTGCAAAATTGCAAATGGCAACACACAACGGTGAGCTGTGGTCTTAGCCGTTTTACACACTTGACAATGCCAGAAAGCGTGTTCAGTGCTTTGTAGAAACCAGGAAGGGTTTCCCCCAGCATCTGCAGTCTTAATTTAGAGGATCTAGCAATAATACAGAGGAAAAGCAATTTTATATTAGTAGGATTATATGTTGTTTCTATTTTGCCTCCTGCATGTCTTGATAGTGTGTGGTATATATTTCAGGATTTATGGCTGAATGTGTTTAAAATTTATGGCGTGTATGTTGTTAAAATGGAGTGGAGGACTCGAATCCAGTGATCAAGGTACAGGACCTGAAGTTGAGATGTAGAATTTGTGCCTTTCTCTGTCCCTAATGCTTCCATCAAATCAGTGGAGACCCTGTGTATTCATGGATACTCCCAATGAAGATAGTAAGGTTCTGTGTTTTTGCCGTGCTTTACCCACACAAATCACATTGAAGGAATCGGGCTCTAATCTTAAACAAGTCACTTAGCCGCTTGCTACTTCATCTTTCCCGTTAGCACAGATGTTAGTTAGGACTCCTACAATCTCTACATCTTCCTTGGAAATGTCTTAGAGTGATCCCAGCTTGATCCGTTGTGGCAAGCCACAGATGGAACCAAAGGGACTGTAGTTTTATCTCTGTCCTGTGAAAAACTATACTAACAGTCTGCTTCCCTTTTATGAGCCTACAGGCATTTTTCAACAGAAAAATGGTGAACTTCCTATGACTGCCATGCAACTGAAACACATAACAAGCCATGTCTTTTTCCTTTGTAGAGTTTACAGATGCTTCCTCAGCAACGGAAAGCCATAGCGAAATTCAAGGAGCCGGCGCACGCATTAGCATTTCAACAGAAATTCCACAGGTAAATAATTAACCCCTGCTGCATTCTTTTGTTTCCCCTCTTTAAAAAAAAACAAAAAAAAAAAAAACTTGTATTGCAGTTTCTTATAAAAAAAAAAAAAAAAGGTTTGTCTTAACCCAGTCAAATGCTTTTTACTACTGACCTACATCGTCCTGTTTTCTTCTGTCCGTGGATGGTAGCGTAAATTTGTCTAACAAATTGAAACTATTTTCTTTAACGTTTTGCAGGCATATGATAGATCTGTCCCATATTAATGTGGCACTGATAGTTGAGTGATACCTGCTGAGAATATAATCTGTGAACAAATGAAGTCTACTGTGGAGCTACACAGGAAGATTCAGTGGCAAAACTATCAGGATCTGAAATCTTTTCAGTTTACTGTCTTTCATTAACTGGTCTGTGGAACTACAGAAAGACACGAGATGTCTTCAAGAAAAGGTGAACTTGAGAGGATCTAGCGCCATGGAGTTTTTGTGTTCAGTTTCTTCACATTCTGTTGTAACCACGTGGAACTAGATTTTTTTCAGCGTGCTTACATTGCATGTAGACACTATTCTTCAGGATGCTACTGTGTGATCACAGTGACTTGAGAGCGAACATTTACATCGAGAAATTTAAAAACTCATTTACAGCAAAGAATATTTGATAATGGTTGCTCTTATCTTCAGTGCAAGGTATTTAAATGAAAACTCACTTTTTTAAACCAAACACATAAGTCTGTATCGCCAAGAAGATAAAAGGTGTGTTCTTATATAGATTAAAACATGGTCTATTTAACCAATCGGTAGTATGCCAAGATTTGGAGGTGACACTGGAAGGTTGGAGTTGCTCTTTGTGTAAATATGTTAAATCTTTCTTGGCATCTTCTAGTCCAGTACAGTCTTTCTGCCTTTTTCCTTCTCTCCTGCTCATAAATGAAACACTGTGTAGAAATGTCATTGCTACATTTTCCCCTTGGGTTTAAAAGAAAGATCTTAATCTTCACCCTCCAGTAGCATCATGGAATAGTTAACGCTTAGTGGTAATTGATTACAGTTTAGATTATTTTAAATGGGAATGCAAGGTACAAATTAAAACTAAAGCACTTAGGTGCTTGTTTTAAAAAAAATTGGCATAGAAAAAATAGTATATTCCCAATAATTACTTTGTACCAGAGTTACCTTTAAAATTATTTTTATTAAGATATTTTTCTTTGGCATTTATTTTGTGATTAATGCTCAAACGTAAAAAATCCCCATAATAGCAGAAAGCATTTCTTTTGTGATGTGGTGTTCCTGATTGAGTTGGGATTATGGGGATGTTGTTATGCTGCTGCTAAAATTAGCAGTACCAAAAATTATGTACAAAGATTAAGGACATTTACATTTTACACTAAATAAAATCAACCATACTTTCTTTGGGTTGGCACTGTCTAGACAGAATTTCCAAAGGAACAACTTTTCAGTTACTTCTTGGATATGGTTAGTAAAATGCCATCACTTAGATCTGATCTCAGGTTTACTGAAATATTTCCTCGGTTCTTAGATTTGGGGGGCGTGGGGGTGTTGTTAGCTCCTTTAAGTACTTGACCTGCTTTTTGAACTTGGGTACCTGTGGGGTCTTTGTAGGTTTATTGAGACCCAAGTAACAAACAGAAAAAGTGACAGAGTGCAGTGAATTTTACAGTAGCTATAAAAGCTGGAACCTAAAATAAATGCCAGAACATGGAAGAATGGGTGTGTGAAGCAAATTAGTTGCTATTAACCTTAGCTTTTGTGGAAGATTTAGTACTAACAAAGTTCTTATAGGCCTTCTAATTGGCTTTCTCGCCAATTTTTTCTTTTTTTACTGACTTGCCAATTAAGTAGAAGTTACTAAAAATTAATGATTGAGCAGTAAATACTGTCAGAAGTCTCCCAGACAAAGCTGCTTTATTTTTCCACTGAAATAATGCAGGGATAAGGTTGTATATTACAGCTATTACACTGGAAAATGAAAAAAGAGAGTTATTTAGAAATCCATTTAGGACCCTAGCAAAGTATGCCACTTTAACAGATCACAGCAGCTTTGTTGGAATGCTCCCAGAAACGGGAGTTTTATACTCACCTAGCTTATTCCAGCTTTTTGCATAAGTCTGAATCCTGACACTTAGCAGCTTTCAGCATAGCTGGTATTCTTTGCTCAGGACAGTTCCAAGACTGGACCAGTAGATGTGTCACAGGCAGAATTGCTCTGGCAACTGGCAAAGCTGTATGTGTAAGTTAGCATGATGCCTGACTTCACAGAGCCTGGCCAAGTCCAGAGCTCTCTATCTCTTCTCTTCCATGAGCACTACAGCCTCCGCTCCCCCCCCCCCCCCCCCC